GACAGTTTGTGCAGAAATTCTTCGGTTGTGCAAACCCACAGTTTCAGCAGCTGTCCGGGTGGCTGGTGAAGAAGCAGGTTGTGGAACAAATTTAAGAGAAATAAGCTTTTTGTGCATATGGAACATTTCTGGGATCTTTTATTTCAGCTCATGAAACATGGGACCAACACTTTTACGTTTTATATTTTTGTTCAATATAATATTTTAGCTACGCAAGAAAGTTTTGCAATAGGGCGATAGTCGTCTAGGTCACAAGGTTCACCACCTTTTGTGAAGTGGGAGTACAAGAGCTGCCTTCCGAATGAGAATGGATAGATGGATGGACCTTAATCGTTACTTTGATGCAGTGTTTACGTTTGTGTGTGTGTGTGCGTGCGTGTGTTTTGTTCAACAGATAATTCCTTACTCACTGTATCCAGTGGAATATTGTTTAAAGAGAGAGAGTCTCATTCTATAGATCCCAGCTGGTTTGACACTGCACTCAGTAGCCTGTCTGTCCTGACTAACACAGTCTGGTTTAGAGTAATGACTGGTCCATGTACAGTATACACTACATAATCAGCTGTGTCTAGGTTGTCAGCTGTGCATGTGTCTGCTCACAGTCGTGCACAGTGTGTGTGTGTGTGTGTGTGTGTGTGTGCACTTTTGTGCGGTTATAGCCGATACGTAGGCATGCTTTTGTGAGTGTGTGTTCCATTGGCGTGTATGGAGAATGTGTGTGGCACTCATACAGACAGTTTGTCTCAGGCCCAGCTCACACTGTCCTTTAGAAAGGGAAAGGCTGTACCGTTGGACTTATTTGCTGTAGGATTCTCTAAAACACAAATGAAAACAATGTGGCCTCTTAGGATGTGAGTGGAATATCAACGGCATACAGTAAAATTGAAATATTGCTGGTGATGTTTTTGACAGGATGCGATAATGCCTTGCATACCATGCTTAAATCCAATGACACAGTCCGTGCTGTCTGACGCCGTTAAATGTACAGTCTTCAATAGAATTTCTAGAATGAAGTTTGAAAATTGCAGACACTCGTATTTGCGACTTGGAGTGACGTGACCTTGTGGTAATGCAATATTCACCCATTCAATCTGCATAGCGCAGCGTTTTTAAAAACAGATGTCAAATAGATGATATGTAAATGATGAATTATGTAAATCTGTCTGGATGTTAACATCCGTCAACGTCTTGCCAAATGTATGTTTATAGATGTGATTATACCATGGCATTATTGAATACTAATTTCTGATTGGCTTGAAGGGCATTCTAGAGCGTTCATTATTTCCTTATAACGCACGGTATATCTGCACGGTCAAATTCAATGGCTATAGTTCATTCATACATGTTCTATATTTGAGCTGCTTTTGAAAGCAAAAGTCGAATTGAAAACATTAGCATTGTTGAATTAGATTTCCTTATAGCAAGCTAGGACTGATGGTTTGGTTAGCTAAGCTAGCAAGTCTGTTTGTGTTTGGTTACCAAGGCAACTACAGTAGCTATCTAGTAAACTCGCTAGCTACTTCAGTGGATGTTGAACACACTTCTAGTGGCAAATTAACACATTTCTAGCGGAAAATGTGTTAAATTATAGCCATGGTATGAAAGGGATAATCAACTCAGGGCTCTATGCGTTCTCTGTAAAATAATGTAACTCCGTGGAAGGTAAGTTCCACTCCGCTAGCGCGTTGTGGAACACACCTTCTACGTCGTTCATTATTTTACATAGAACGAATAGCCCCTCGTTGATTATCCCTAACTTAATACACAAGACTCGAACACCTGCGACCTTTAACCTGAGTATTAACATTTGACCTTTGAACTCTCTCTCCAGACCCTTGTCTGACGGTGATGCCGCCATGCATGGGCGACGCAGACCGCTTCAGCCTGGAGGCCCTCCGGGTCATTCACAAACAGCTGGACGACGACAATGACGGGGGGATTGAGGTCAACGAGAGTGTAGAGGTGAGTAATACTAAAACTGGATTAGTCTATGTATGTGACATTCACTGATCGTTTGTGTTACCAAGTAATTTGTGTCATCAAGTCATCATTGTTCCCTGGTCATTTCTGTTGCCAAGTCAAGTGTGTTCCTTGTTCATTTCTGTTACCAAGTTATTTCTTTTTTTCTGATAGTATTAATTTGAGTGTGCATTGTTAAGGTGGGAATGCTTTGTGGCTTTAAGGGTTGACCTGAACTGGGCCTTAAAGCCTTACAGCCTCGTAAACAACCCCATAAACTCATGGAATAATGTTTGCAAGCCATTATCAGCTTAGGAAGTGGAGAGATAGTGGAGATTGATAATATGTTAGGCCTTTCTCAGTGTGATTAACAGTAAGACCACACTGACCTGGTCTGACCTGTACCCTCTCGTAATCAGCGCCCTCTTAGTTTAATAAAAAAACACATTTATTGTGTGTGTGTGTGTGTGTGTGTGTGTGTGTGTGTGTGTGTGTGTGCTTACACATTTGTGACCAGGTGAAAGCAATGATCCCTTATTGATGTCACTTGTTAAATCCACTTCGATAAGTGTAGATGAATGGGAGGAGACAGGTGAAAGAAGGATTTTTAATCCTTGAGACATGGATTGTGTATGTGTGCCATTCAGAGGGTGAATGGGAAAAACAAAAGATTGAAGTGCCTTTGAACGGGGTATGGTAGTAGGTGCCAGGCGCACCGGTTTGTGTCAAGAACTGCAGCTCTGCTGGGTTTTTCCACGCTCCACAGTTTCCCGTGTGTATCAAGAATGGTCCACCACCCAAAGGACATCCAGCCAACTTGACACAACTGTGGGAAGCATTGGAGTCAACATGAGCCAGCATCGCTGTGGAACGCTTGACACCTTGTAGAGTCCAGGCCCTGACGAATTGTTCTGAGGGCAAAAGGAAGGTGTCCTAATGTTTGGGATACTCAGTGTAGATATTCCCAATAACTTGTTTGGCACGCTTTGTTTGCTTCTTTTATTGTTGATGAAGAAATAGTGTTAGGGTTAAATAGTGTTAAGGGTTAAATAGTGTTAAGGGTTAAATAGGGTTAAGGGTTAAATAGGGTTAAGGGTTAAATAGGGTTAAGGGTTAAATAGGGTTAAGGGTTAAATAGGGTTAAGGGTTAAATAGTGTTAAGGATTAAATAGTGTTAAGGGTTAAATCGTGTTAAGGATTAAATAGGGTTAAGGGTTAAATCGTGTTAAGGATTAAATAGGGTTAAGGGTTAAATCGTGTTAAGGATTAAATAGTGTTAAGGGTTAAATCGTGTTAAGGATTAAATAGGGTTAAGGGTTAAATAGTGTTAAGGATTAAATAGGGTTAAGGGTTAAATAGGGTTAAGGGTTAAATAGGGTTAAGGGTTAAATAGGGTTAAGGGTTAAATAGGGTTAAGGGTTAAATAGGGTTAAGGGTTAAATAGTGTTAAGGGTTAAATAGGGTTAAGGGTTAAATAGGGTGTAAGGGTTAATGTGTTAAGGGTTAAATTAGTTACGGTTAAGTTGGTGGTTAAATGGTGGTGTTAAGGGTTAAATATAGGGTTAATTGTGGTTATAGGTATATAGTGTTAAGGGTTAAATGTTAAGGGTTAAATAGGGTTAAGGGTTAATAGGTTAAGGGTTAAATAGGGTTAAGGGTTAAATCGTGTTAGGGTTAAATAGGTTAAGGTTAATTGTTGGGTTAAATAGGGTTAAGGGTTAAATAGGGTTAAGGGTTAAATAGGGTTAAGGGTTAAATGCCTTTTTGGGAGTTTGTCAGAAAATTGGTGAGGTAACAGTGTTGACAGTACTGGATGAGGTAACAGTGTTGACAGTAGTGAGGTAACAGTGTTGACAGTACTGGATGAGGTAACAGTGTTGACAGTACTGGATGAGGTAACAGTGTTGACAGTACTGGATGAGGTAACAGTGTTGACAGTACTGGATGAGGTAACAGTGTTGACAGTACTGGATGAGGTAACAGTGTTGACAGTACTGGATGAGGTAACAGTGTTGACAGTAGTGAGGTAACAGTGTTGACAGTACATTTTACATTTACATTTTAGTCATTTAGCAGACGCTCTTATCCAGAGCGACTTACAGTACTGGATGAGGTAACAGTGTTGACAGTACTGGATGAGGTAACAGTGTTGACAGTACTGGATGAGGTAACAGTGTTGACAGTAGTGAGGTAACAGTGTTGACAGTACTGGATGAGGTAACAGTGTTGACAGTACTGGATGAGGTAACAGTGTTGACAGTAGTGAGGTAACAGTGTTGACAGTACTGGATGAGGTAACAGTGTTGACAGTACTGGATGAGGTAACAGTGTTGACAGTACTGGATGAGGTAACAGTGTTGACAGTACTGGATGAGGTAACAGTGTTGACAGTACTGGATGAGGTAACAGTGTTGACAGTACTGGATGAGGTAACAGTGTTGACAGTACTGGATGAGGTAACAGTGTTGACAGTAGTGAGGTAACAGTGTTGACAGTACTGGATGAGGTAACAGTGTTGACAGTACTGGATGAGGTAACAGTGTTGACAGTACTGGATGAGGTAACAGTGTTGACAGTAGTGAGGTAACAGTGTTGACAGTACTGGATGAGGTAACAGTGTTGACAGTACTGGATGAGGTAACAGTGTTGACAGTAGTGAGGTAACAGTGTTGACAGTACTGGATGAGGTAACAGTGTTGACAGTACTGGATGAGGTAACAGTGTTGACAGTGTTGAGGTAACAGTGTTGACAGTACTGGATGAGGTAACAGTGTTGACAGTACTGGATGAGGTAACAGTGTTGACAGTAGTGAGGTAACAGTGTTGACAGTAGTGAGGTAACAGTGTTGACAGTACTGGATGAGGTAACAGTGTTGACAGTACTGGATGAGGTAACAGTGTTGACAGTAGTGAGGTAACAGTGTTGACAGTACTGGATGAGGTAACAGTGTTGACAGTACTGGATGAGGTAACAGTGTTGACAGTAGTGAGGTAACAGTGTTGACAGTGACTGGGTGAGGCAACAGTGTTGACAGTACTGGATGAGGTAACAGTGTTGACAGTAGTGAGGTAACAGTGTTGACAGTGACTGGGTGAGGCAACAGTGTTGACAGTGAAAGTGTTGAGGTAACAGGGTTGACAGTTGTGAGGTAAGTGTTGACAGTGAAAGTGGTGAGGTAACAGGGTTGACAGTGGTGATGTAATAGTCTTGACAGTGACAGTGGTGAGGTAAAAGTGTTGACATTAACTGGGTGAGGGTAACAGTGTTGACAGTGCACATGTTTAGGTAACAGGATTGACAGTGGTGAGGTAACAGGGTTGACAGTGACAGTGGTGAGGTAACAGGGTTGACAGTGACTGGGTGAGGTAACAGGGTTGACAGTAACAGTGTTGAGGTAACAGGGTTGACAGTGACACTGTTGAGGTAAAAGGGTTGACAGTGACGGGGGTTTCCCCAAGGGTTGGGGAAAGGAGGCCACATTGGGGATGTCCTCACCCCCTGTCACACCAATCTTGGCACCCCCCCCCACCCACAATGTGGGAGTGACACCAGCATTTCCCCTCTACTTCTCTTCCACACACACACACACACACACACACACACACACACACACACACACACACACACACAACCTCCATCTCTCTTCCTGGCAGTGGTGATGTAACGGGGTTGACAGTGACCCCCGACCCACAATGTGACAGTGACACCACCAACGTTTCCCCTCTACTTCTCTGCACACGCACACAGCAAATACTTTGACCGTTCCAGAACATAAAGCTGACAAGTGGCCTTGTTGTCACAAAGGGACAGGGGACATACAGTGGGGAAAAAAAGTATTTAGTCAGCCACCAATTGTGCAAGTTCTCCCACTTAAAAAGATGAGAGGCCTGTAATTTTCATCATAGGTACACGTCAACTATGACAGACAAAATGAGAAAAAAATAAAATAATCCAGAAAATCACATTGTAGGATTTTTAATGAATTTATTTCCAAATTATGGTGGAAAATAAGTATTTGTTATATACCCTTTGTTGGCAATGACACAGGTCAAACGTTTTCTGTAAGTCTTCACAAGGTTTTCACACACTGTTGCTGGTATTTTGGCCCATTCCTCCATGCAGATCTCCTCTAGAGCAGTGATGTTTTGGGGCTGTCGCTGGGCAACACGGACTTTCAACTCCCTCCAAAGATTTTCTATGGGGTTGAGATCTGGAGACTGGCTAGGCCACTCCAGGACCTTGAAATGCTTCTTACGAAGCCACTCCTTCGTTGCCCGGGCAGTGTGTTTGGGATCATTGTCATGCTGAAAGACCCAGCCACGTTTAATCTTCAATGCCCTTGCTGATGGAAGGAGGTTTTCACTCAAAATCTCACCTTACATGGCCCCATTCATTCTTTCCTTTACACGGATCAGTCGTCCTGGTCCCTTTGCAGAAAAACAGCTCCAAAGCATGATGTTTCCACCCCATGCTTCACAGTAGGTATGGTGTTCTTTGGATGCAACTCAGCATTATTTGTCCTCCAAACACGACAAGTTGAGTTTTTACCAAAAAGTTATATTTTGGTTTCATCTGACCATATGACATTCTCCCAATCCTCTTCTGGATCATCCAAATGCACTCTAGCAAACTTCAGACGGGCCTGGACATGTACTGGCTTAAGCAGGGGGACACGTCTGGCACTGCAGGATTTGAGTCCCTGGCGGCGTAGTGTGTTACTGATGGTAGGCTTTGTTACTTTGGTCCCAGCTCTCTGCAGGTCATTCACTAGGTCCCCCCGTGTGGTTCTGGGATTTTTGCTCACCGTTCTTGTGATCATTTTGACCCCACGGGGTGAGATCTTGCGTGGAGCCCCAGATCGAGGGAGATTATCAGTGGTCTTGTATGTCTTCCATTTCCTAATAATTGCTCCCACAGTTGATTTCTTCAAACCAAGCTGCTTACCTATTGCAGATTCAGTCTTCCCAGCCTGGTGCAGGTCTACAATTTTGTTTCTGGTGTCCTTTGACAGCTCTTTGGTCTTGGCCATAGTGGAGTTTGGAGTGTGACTGTTTGAGGTTGTGGACAGGTGTCTTTTATACTGATAACAAGTTCAAACAGGTGCCATTAATACAGGTAACGAGTGGAGGACAGAGGAGCCTCTTAAAGAAGAAGTTACAGGTCTGTGAGAGCCAGAAATCTTGCTTGTTTGTAAGTGACCAAATACTTATTTTCCACCATAATTTGCAAATAAATTCATAAAAAATCCTACAATGTGATTTTCTGGATTTGTTTTTCTTAATTTGTCTGTCATAGTTGACGTGTACCTCTCTCATCTTTTTAAGTGGGAGGACTTGCACAATTGGTGGCTGACTAAATACTTTTTCCCCCCACTGTAATATGGTGACAGTGACACCAGTAGTGAGGTGGTTCTAGTGAAGGGCTACTGTATAGGGGACCATTACCTGTTGGACTGAGAGAGAGTTAGACCTCAGTCAGCAAAGTTGTACGAGTAAAGTATCTATTTTTATAGACGTGGATGATTCATATTCTGACCAATTTCTCCGAATATTAAGTTACTTTATACCTCCGTTGGAGAGTGTTCTGCTTGCTGAGTGCATGGGGGTTGTTCTGCTTGATGAGTGCACGGGGGTTGTTCTGCTTGATGAGTGCATGGGGGTTGTTGATTTGTTTTGATTTCCTGGCTGGTCTCCAGTGTAAATCATAAAGGCTCTGTGGTGCCCTTAACCATGCCTGGAAAGTGTGTGTGCGCACACGCACACGCACACACACACACACACACACACACACACACACACACATCATTTATTGAGGGAAGGACAGCTCGGTGAGTTGTTGACATGTGGCATTGGTCACAAGCAGAGGATCCATGGCTAGATATTCAGACCTCCTAAAAACACACACACACCCCGCTAGCACACTGCCCCCTTGCCCCATCCAGCCCCTTCATCACACACACAGACAGACAGGGGGGCTTCAGTAGCCCCCTTCCTCTTCCTCAGAAAGGTGTTTTGGAAAGAGCTGAGGCCTGTTGCTCAGGAGAGGTGGGTCAGTCTCCGGGGACGGCAGGTGCGCTGTACTTCCTGTCCGTCAAGGAGTCACTTTACTGGATCAGGTTCCATCTATTTGAAATAGATGGAGGGGTGTGTGTGTGTGTGTGTGTGTGTGTGTCTGTGAGTTGCAGTAATCGATTAGCCCTTGATGGGTCATGGTTGACATCTTGAGAAAACACAGGTGTGTTTATGTCCACACAGATCTCTTGAGAGCAGTGACGGCCCGATCTATAGAACAGTGAAAGCCTTGGAATGTTCCAGAAGGTTGACAGTGTCCCTGTAGATGGAGTGAGTGAAGCACTGCCCGAACCAAGGACAGTCCAAACATTTCATCACCATCACTTGGAATCAGAGCCGCAGGCCTGGGGGTTCTTCTTTCAGACTGCTGCACATTTCTCAGTCTGTGTGTGTGTGTGTCAAATTGTCTCTCTGTGTGTGTGTCAAATTGCCTCTCTCTCTCTGTGTGTGTGTGTGTGTGTTAAATTGCCTCAGTGTGTGTGTGTGTGTCAAATTGTCTCTCTGTGTGTGTGTGTGTGTCAAATTGCCTCTCTGTGAGTGTGTGTGTCAAATTGCCTCTGTGTGTGTGTGTGTTAAATTGTCTCCATATGGAGACAGTAAACCACCCAATGACTCTTAAACACTAATGCCGATAGTCATTTTATTGTAAAGTGGTTGTCCCACTGGCTATCATAAGGTGAATGCACCAATTTGTAAATCGCTCTGGATAAGAGCGTCTGCTAAATGACGAAAATGAAAATGAAAAATGGAATGTATGGAATGTGTGTGTGTGAGCACATGTATGCAATGCGTGCTGTGTGTGTGTGTGTGTGTGTGTGTGTGTGTGTGTGTGTGTGTGTGTCTGTGTGTGTGTGTGTGTGTGTGTTTGACAATAGTCTGTCATTATCTGGACATTGCTGGATAAGATACACAAGACACAGATATTCAATGACCGTTCAAGCAAACCAAATAAAACGTTCTCATTCGTATCTTAATTAATACGTTTATTATTCCAAAACCCATTAGTACCCTCAGTTGTTATAGTGTAAAAAGTGTTTCAGTTATAATTCTGAATGTCTTGATCGAGAACAAGATTATGATACACTCTAAATACGGGTCCAGGACAAGACCATGGATAAGACAGGTTGGGGAAATCATGCTGCCAAAGAGATTAGATAGTGGTTTCCACACTCGTTGGTTCTGAACTCTCCTCGTCAATGTCAAATATTAAAGTGCCATGCTCAATGTCCTTTATTATTGCCTTCCACAGACAAACATGGATTTGTAATTTTATGCAACAAGCTTTTTCAAATTCAGCTCACTGTGAGCATAGTTTCCTTTTGAAGTCCACTCAACTCACAGAACAACCCTAATGAAGCAGTTGGTGAAGTTGACATACAAGAGCACGGCGCTTGTAACGTCAAGGTAGTGGGTTCGATCCCCGGGACCACCCATACACAAAAATGTATGCACGCATGACTGTAAGTCGCTTTGGATAAAAGCGTCTGCTAAATGGCATATTATTATTATTATTATTATTATTATCATTGTCAGGAAGCCACACCCACCCCACTGGGTTTAGAAGTTAAGAGATAGAAAGTATAGGTTCTGTAGACGTAATGACGCTCAAAGTGAAAAATCATTCAACTAAATAATGAGGATTTCTATCATCCTAATCGAGGTGTAGATTACATCTCACATTCCAGTGTTCAAATTAATTAAAAATTAATTAATTAATAATTAATGAATTAATTACCTATTGCAGATTCAGTCTTCCCAGCCTGGTGCAGGTCTACAATTTTGTTTCTGGTGTCCTTTGACAGCTCTTTGGTCTTGGCCATAGTGGAGTTTGGAGTGTGACTGTTTGAGGTTGTGGACAGGTGTATTTTATACTGATACAAGTTCAAACAGGTGCCATTAATACAGGTAACGAGTGGCGGACAGAGGAGCCTCTTAAAGAAGAAGTTACAGGTCTGTGAGAGCCAGAAAT